TATGGATGGATGGATGGATGGATGGATGGATGGATGGATGGATGGATAGACGGATAGACGGATAGACGGATAGATGGATAGACAGACAGATATTATTTGTTACCATTTTGGTAAGCACCAAGATTTAGCTAGTTATGTCACAAGCAAGACTAAACTTGTACAAAAACAAAAAAAGAAAAACATTTGTGAGTAAATTTGTCTTTGTGCTGCAAGGACCCAATGTTTTGTGACACAAACAGGATGGAAATGTTCAATTAGCTGCTAGGATTGTTGTCAAATTATATTTTCACATTACACAGCTCTGAATCTCATCAAAAGCAAACGTTTTAACTTGCGCATTATAAAACAATGTGCACCAGATTAATAATTCAGCTCTCACAATTTGCATTTGGAATTTATATCAATACTATCGCTTGGGAAGCAAGTACATTGTTTTTAAATCTGTGATACTAAAGTGGGTCAAAACCCGGTTTGCCTTTCACAATCCCTCTTTACAACCCAACAAGGGTGGTTGACATGATTTTTTTTTTTTTTTGATTAATTGTTTCTATTATCAGCAGATTTCAAAATATGTTATAGACACGTTGATACAAACACCAAATGGATTATTTTGAGTTTGTTGAAACCAAATTAGGGCTCACAGATGTGCAAAATTTTACCTTGAATAAGTTGTTCAGAAATAAACCATATTACTAGCACAAGTAGTTTATTGCAAAAACCTCTACTCAGAGGGAAATATATATATTTTTTCATTTATTTAAAAGATCATTTTTGCAACACTAATTTCAAACTTCAAAAATTAAACTTGTGTTTGTGCCACATTATCATAAATGTGGCTCAGAATTTTGTTACACAAACAAACAAGCAACAACAACAAAAAGGCTGAGTGCAGGTTTGTAGTTTCATTTTCTTCATTTTTAGATGGTTCATTATTGCTTCAACAAATGTTGCGTTTTTGCCTCATTTTCCAGAAAAATATTAGTTTAGAAACACATTTTTGTCACAAAATAATTTAGCATTATTAGGCACAGATGCTTAGAGATCTCTGTAATTTGTGCACATAATACATCTCCTTATTCAGACATGCACACGTACACACACGTTCCTACACCCCCCCCCCCCCCCCACACACACACACACACACACACATATATACCAGCACAAATAAAACAACCTGTATTGTTTTCAAACACACATCACTGGTACAAACCAATGAGTATATAACTGACAACAGCTGCCTAATATTCATAACTAGGAGTCAAAAACAGGCTGAATATTCACAAACAACAAAAAAGACAGCCCAAATTTAAATTAAGCATATTCAATTCCAGAGTTTTACAATACAAATAAGTACAAATTTACAATTATAAATATAATATTCTGTAATTTGCATTTCTCTGATAAAACACAATTTTTACGTTTGAATTCTTTACCTTGCCTTCTAAACATGCCTACAGTGAAATAAACGCTTTTTATCAGTGCATAGTCAAATATCTGTAAAAATTTAGCTACCCAGGTCACACACATGAGATAACCTTATGCAAAAATAAATAATCTTTACTTTTCCTCCCCACAAACATACAGGTACAAGCCCACATGTGGCAGCAGAGACTGTTACGTTAAAGGGGTGAAGGCTCAGGTTCTGAAACCAGAGAAAATGTTCTCATCTCTTAGGCAATAGCATTCTCCAGTGGTTCCTTCTCGTCAGCTGTGGCATGATCTGCCCGCTGTGCCGCAGCCAGCTCCTCGTTTTTTTTCAACTCCCGCTGATATTTGGCCATGATAGCAGCATAGGCGCATCCGTACACTGCAGCAGCCAGCATCATCAGACACACAATCCCACACACCACACCGGTGATGATCACAGTGGCAATAGCATGGCGCAAGTTGACAGGCCGTTGCTTCTGCTTAGTTTCACACTCTGTCATACTGCCTCCTCCTCCCCCACCTAAACCCTCCCCAATCGCCAAGGGGACGTGGAAAGAGTGGCTGGAAGGATGAGCATGGTTGCCATGGGTGTGGCCTCGCAGTAGCCTCTCAGACTCCAGGTGATGTATGTTGGCAAACAGGTAATGATAGCTTGTAGTCATACAGACATGGAAGAGCTGATAGGGAATTTTTTGCAAGTCTTTATCCTTCATTTCTTCTGGTTGAGTGCAAAGCACTTCATCCACCACTCCACCTTGATATCATAGTTAAAGAGACAGAAATAATCAAAATAAACATAAAAAGAAATATCCTTAGAAGATATATTTGATCTGAAAATATGTGCCAGTTTCTTCATAGCAGCTGCCCAGAGAGTGAATTATAATTACTGTAGCTGAGCCTAAACTAGCTTATTACTTTCTTTCAATCAGTATTAGGAAGCAGAATTAGCATGTGTTAGCCATATGATTATAGCGTTATGCAATATGATTAAAAACTCGAATAGGGTCTCAGCTGGATCGCTAGGACCAAATTAATGGGCTTCAGAAAAGTAAACATCTGCTGTGAACTTGACCAGGTTCCCTCTGCGTTTCCTGCAAATCTCTAGTTCTCTTGTTCATATCAGGCTCATTCTTATACACTTACTTTTTTTCCTGCTTGATTAACCACTAGCTTTCAATTAAACACAAATCCTGGGATCTGCCTCCATTGTTTTGTTTTGCAGTAATTAGAATTTTTATCCTGGAAGACAGGAGTAACGTATGCGCAGCATGGACCGGTAGGCGTGCCATGGAAGTCTGAGAAAGCCCAGCCTTCACTGTTCAGTGGTAATTTTGTTTTTTTATACCTGCTGTGCTTGCTCTTGCACAGAAGATGATGTACTTTAGCTCTTTATCCTAGCTCGTGTTGTTAAAACTAGTTGCAAAGCTATCAAAAATGTACAACAGAGTTTAGAAGAGACCGTTTGAGAAACAAAGCATTCTTGCTTTCACATATTCTGTCTTGGTCTATGACATATACCTTTGACATGTCACACATGCAATGTCAAATTTCTTCCACACAATAATTTGAATGATGCAGAAGTTCTGACACTGAGTTCAAGGCAGGATGTCAATGTATTTTCATAATAATAGTTTCATGTGTGAGAGGGTTCAATAACATAAGTGAAAAAACTTGATATTATGTTTGACAAATTGTATAAGTTTGAGTGAAAGCAAGAATTAAATATTTCTAAAATAGCCTCTCACTGATCAGTCCCAATGATATTTCATCAGTAAATGTAATGAATTGTTACCAAATTGTTTGTTAGCAGCTACACACCGATTAATGTAAGAAACACACACATATCTTATTATTATTTTTTTTAGCTCAGTTTAAGTGTAGAAACATTGTGAAGTGTTTCAATGAACTCACACATATATTATTATCTTTATTCAGCAAAACTTCAATTCAAACCTAACTCTGTAGTGTTAGTTTCTGTAATGATGAATACATCATTTATTTAGATCAAATTGTGATTACAAAAAATGGGAAGAAAAGTGACATTATTGCATTAATTTAGCTGCAACATTTTTAGCTTACTAGTCTTTGAATGTTGAGTTAAACCAAGCCTAGCAGAGTAAAATAGAATGGCTGAGTGGTTAGAGTGCAAACCACATGGGGGGAAATTGGCAGCTGAGACCCTGATTTATGTTGCATGATTAGTTTTTCTCTTGCAACTATTCAGTGTGAGCAAGAAGCAAAAACATAAATGTCTATATGTTGCCATGATACAACAGTGAGTTGTACATGAGGCTGCTTATAAGAACTGACTGACTAAAGCTTGTAGTGGTCTAACCTTTAAAGAGGTAGGTCTCCAGCCAGAGTTTGAGGCTTATGAGTTGGCAGTCGCATCTCCAGGGGTTTCCTCGGAGTGTGAGGCTGTCTAGGTGGGTCAAGGCCTCCAGCAGCGAGCGATCCAGTCTTGTTAGCCTGTTGTTTGCAAGCCCCAGATAGCTGAGGTTCTGCAAACTGTCCCCCATGGCTCCAGGCAAACCCCACAAACTGACATGCAAGACAAATTAGATGAGATTTAATTAGCCAATAATTGGCTCACAAGCTTCAGAAAAAAAGGTAACATGTTCATATGTCAAAGATTAACCTGTTGTGTGAGAGGTCAAGGTGAGAAATTGAGTGTATTGGTCCAAGCAGTCGCTTGTCAAGTTCTCTCAGGTTGTTGTAGGCCAGACTGAGTCGCTGTAGAGTCCTCAGACCAAGGAGAGCCGTTGGTGAAAGAGACGTTATAGAGTTATTAGATAAATCAAGGATGCGAACCAGGGGTATTTCCCTAAAAGCCATTGATCCCAACCCCCTGATACGATTGTCTTGTAGATACAGTTCTTGGGTGTCTGAACTGAGTCGTCGAGGAATGTCGTATAGACCTCGACCTCGACAGTCTACTACTTTGGTGTTGCTGTTGCAGCTGCACTCTTTTGGACAGGCATGTGACAAAGACAGAGGGCAGAGGAGGGCACACACCAGAATCACTGTGGAGACACAGACAAACTATTGCAATGAGCATGTAAAAGTAATCTGTAGTCCTGCATAAAAAAAAGTTTTAACAGTTGAATCACAATTTGTCTGCTTTGAGCAATGACCCGAACTACTGTTACATAACTGCACACAACAACCTTAAGCCTTCATGTCCATCATCATCACGACAGATCAACTCCTGAATAAATGCACCATCTTTACTTTACTCTGTATCTCATATGATAATATTTTTTGTGTGTGTCCAGTTTACTCAAAAGAAAATGTTTAACTATTATACACCCCCACTTCTGACAAACAGCATACCCTCCTATACAGTGACCCTTGGTGACTTCACCAAAGCTCCATAACTCAACACCCACACACAAATCCATACACAGCACATATTGGGTGTCTGATTCCCTTTGAGATACCTTCACGTGTCCATTCCTTCTAGAGCACAACACTGTATTTATAGTATCGGCTTGACTAGCTCGAGGCTCAATGAAATGTAGCTCTGGCCCAAGCTTGTGAGTGTAACAAGCTCAAAAGTGGAATAATATATTTTGAATCGAATTAATGGCTGTACTGTGTATGTTCTCATGCAAATAAAGGATTTTTTCTTTATATAATTCTATTGCAAGCTTTATAAACTGTATTGTGTATTTTTTTTTCCCCAAAAAAACTAGAAATGACCAATTTACTGGTAGAATAATCACTTTGAATATCCACATTAAACAGATTTAACTCATCGCAGACACATGTTTTAGGTCAAACATTATAAACCAGTGTGCACAAGCTTAATAAATTCAGCTCACACAAAATGCATTTGGAATATAGAATTTAATAATAGTATCACATATCAAGCAAATATGTCTTTAAAAGGTTCTTTTAATGTGCAATTTTAAACTTGGTCAGTTTCATCCTTACACCCCAACCATAGTGGTCAGCTTGGATATTTTTGGGGATAAAATGACTAATATTAGTAGATGTCAAAGTTTGTTATAAATGCTTTGATGAAATGGCCTAAATGATACATAAATGAATAAATAAACAGATAATATATGTATTGATGTTTTTTGAAACCAATGAAAGACTTGTGTTCATGCAAGTTTTTACTATGTTTTTAAATAAATTATATGACTAGCACAAGTAGTTTATTGCATAGACCTCTGCCTAGTATAAACATTATTACATTTATATATAGGATCATTTGTTTCCCAACTATTTTCAGTATCCAAAGATTATCTGCTCAACCATCTTAAAGGACCTGACCCTCCAGTTGAGAACCTACTATTTAAAATATGGTTATTGATTTTAAAGGCTTTAGGCCACATGTGTCAAACTCAAGGCTCATGGGCTAAATCTGGCCTCTGTTAACATCTTACATGGCTCCCTAGGAGGATATTTTAAATGTAAAATGATTTTATTTCTTCTCATTTTGCTTAAAATACTTAGCAAACTTCATTTAGTGCAGCCTTCTCATGACAGTTGGCTAACTTTAAAGCCAGAAAAAAGGTTAGATGTTTCAGTTTATTTTTATTTTGATGTGGAAGAGCAGCAAAGAATGTCAAATGGGACCAATTAAACTCTTGTTGATAAACCTGCAACCTAGAAAAGATGTTGCGTATTTGACTTAAGTTAATGCATCGAATGAAATTGGCCCATGGCTTGAACCAAGGTTTTAATTTTGGTCCCCTTTTGTAACAGAGTTTGACACCCCTGCAAGGCCATCTTCTGTAATGATAATTTTGTTTTCACTGGACTCCTGTGTGATATGATTTATACATTTAAATAGCTTTTGTGATACAGTCTTATATTGAGCATCAAGCATCGTAACATGGCTGAGCTGAGATTTAGTTTGATGTCGTGTTAGCTTAGAGTTTGTTGTTCTCGTCTGTCCGCAGCACATTGAAATGTATGTGTATGTATATGAAACAATATGTTTCAATTACACGTGAATTGTCATGCGAATAATAAACTTATATAAAGCCCTCACACAAAAACATCAGCTTAGTGAAGCATTACGATCAGCTATGGAATTAGGTCAACACAACAAAACATCTCCTTTTTTTATTTTTTTTTATTTGTTGTTCTCCTCAAAGAAAATACAGAAAAGTTAATCATGACATGCTTACATCATCCACAGCATTTACCACTTTAAATGCCATCATCAAATTGCACTAATAAAACGGTAGTCTCTATAATGCTTTACTTAATTACTATACATGGATATGAATGTATTTTTTAATTATTTTATTTTGATAAACAGTTCTGGCAAATGTCAGGAACCTACTTCATCATGCACACATTTATGCACAAACACATGTTTACAAACAAACGTGCATTCACCCTGAACATCGATGGCGCTCCTACCTCTCATATCTGCCAGTTGTCCCGGGTACACTTGCATTCAGTGTCCTTTTAGATGCCTTTTATGAATTGTCGAGTCCGTCATCGGTTTATGATCCATTTGCAGTCAGTGAGGCTGAGGAAGGCTCGCCCTAACCCTGCGCTGGCTGATGTTGTCAATAGGTGGAAATTAGAGAGATCAAGAACAGCGGCAGACACAAGTGTTGCCCTCAGGATCCCCAGCAGCGTTTGTAAGGGTTTGAAACCCCATCAGAGCAGGCGGATCAAAGCGCACAGCTCACTGCCAGCCAGCCAGTCAGTCTGAGAATCACTGGAGTTAGTAGCTCTGGCTCTCTCTCTCTCTGTTTTTTTCCCTTTTTCTATTTCTTCACTATCTCTCTACCCCTCTTCTGTTTTATGTGCTCTATTTATACCCTTTTTTCTACTTTACCATTTCCCTACACTGATTTAGATGAATTTTTGTCCCTCTGCTGAAAGCATATCAACACTCTGTCCTCCTCTGTCTGTATGTCTCTCGATCTGTTTTGCATCCCCCCCCCCCCCATCCCTAGTTGCATTGGTGTGTGAGTTGGTGTGTCATATCCCTGTGGACAGCTGTGCCTCTTAAATCACAGCACAAACACGTTCACTGACATTCATGTTACACCTACTATTGCTCTGGCAAGAACCGAACAAGACAAAATTAGATCTAGACTGCAGAACGTCGACAAAAATACTCAGCCGCTTCAACGCACAGTGAACGTTGGATGCCCATTGTTGTGTGGCATGCTCTGATGATATTATGCATAAGCCGTGGGCAGAGGGGCTGACTGAACACGCCCCCAGCCCTGCAACACAGAATGCACAAATGCACACATTTGCACGCAGCTGAATTTTAAGCTGCTGCAGTCAATTTACATAGTACATAATACAAAGAGAGAGGAAGAGATGACTGATCATTTTAACGACAAATATAGTTAAGCTTACAAGCTGACCTGGCTCCAGGGTATTTGCCTTCTTGGCCATCCAGATTATAATTATTTTATTTGCTGATGGGCCTGACAATTATTTTCATTTTGTCGGTAAAACTGCATCCCGTTCACATCCCTGATTTATAGTATAGTTTTGCCAAACAAGTGAACATTTAAACACTCAGCTCTACTGCATCATATTGTCTCCAAAGGTATAAAAGCGTGTAGAGGACCACGCGCCTGCGCACGCATATATGCCCACATTCATGAGCATATTTGAGGTTATTTACACAGACAGGAAAATGCATCTGCCAATGTGTGACGTCGCCTTTGCTTCTGTGAAAAGACCATATGTTGATGTGTCTAGACAGATTGTTCTGTTTTTGCTACAGTGTCTAAAAATGTCATTCGGGTAAAAAATTATGTCTTTATATGACTCATTTAGCTCATGACGCATTTAATGCATAAGTTGTTGCTACCTGTAAGGCAAATGTGCAAAGGTTTTTATCTGCATACAATCTTTATGATTGTTTGTGTTTTAAGTGTGAGATTTTTCTACCGGTGTTTCAGTCATGGTGATAACAAATTGTAGCATGTTTTCTTTTTTTTCTTTTCTTTTTTTTTTAGGCTTTTTTATTATATCATGAAAGCCAAACAAGCTAATCTCCCAGATAACTTGTTCAGTCTCTCACATTATTTCCAAGAATACTGACCCACTCCTCTTTACAATCACTTTAGTCCTCATTTTTTGATGCCGAAACCCATTCTCACATGTTTTTCAGCCATGAGGACCAGCATTACACTGGGTATCTAGCTATTTGAAAGATAAGAAACAGTTTGTACAAATAAATGGTGTAAGATCTGACCTCTGCAATATCACGTGTGGAGTTCCTCAAGGCTCTGTACTTGGACCAACGTTATTTATTTTATATGTGAATGACAGTGAATGTATCAGAACTCCTCAAATGTGTCCTTTTTGCAGATGACACCACATTTTTTTGTTTGGGTAAAGATGTAAAACGGATGTTGGAATTGATGAAGACAGAATTTGATAAAATACAAACTTGGTTTAAAATTAATAAATTATCATTAAATTTAGATAAAACTAAATACATGATATTTAGTAACAAAAAGAGAACTGTTGATGATCCGTTTAAAATTGAGGGTGTTGAGATTTGTAGAGTTACTGAGATGAAATTTTTGGGTGTAATCATTGATGAATAGCTAACATGGAAAAATCACATCAATTCTGTAAGAACAAAAATATCTAAATCTATTGCAGTACTATACAAAGTCAGGGAATTATTAAATGATAAAGCTCTGTACATGTTGTATAACACAATCATTGTTCCACATTTAATCTATTGCATTGATGTTTGGGGGAAAGCATGTAAAACATTTACAAAACCTATTTTTATTTTACAGAAAAGAGCTATAAGAATTATCACTAGAAAGCATTACAGTCACCCATCAAGCACATTATTTTATCAACTGAAGTTATTGAAGTTCCATGATTTGGTAGATTACAGTATTTTATCAGTTATGTATAGGGCTCAAAATAACACATTACCATTAAATATCCAAAGAAATTTTGTTAAAAGGCAAAGTTGTTGTAATCTTAAGGGGATAGAAATATTTGTCAAACCAAAATTCAGAACTAGTCTGAAGGGAAGGTCTACCTCAATCCAAGGAGTTGGATTGTGGAATGATCTAGAGAGTGATGTTAAAAATGCCAAGTCAATGTGTACATTTAAGAAAAAGATCAAAGCTGAATTGTTAAAAAAAAAAAAATGAAGTAGCTTAGTGTGTTTTTTGTATTAGAATTAGAAAAATTAGAAAGAGTTATTCATTTTGTTCTGTTACTCGAAAATTATGATTGAAATAATTGTTTGAAAAAAGAGGCAGATATAATAAGATTTTTTATTCTTTCTGCTGCCTTTCATTTTAAATCTCTTGTATCTTTTTTATATTGTTATGGCATTGTTTTGTACTTTTTAAAAATTAATAAACTTTATACCATACCATACCATGTAGTTTTTAACAGAAAATACTTTCTCCATGCAACCTTTCAAATGTAGCTCTACACGTTAACTATTTTTCTTACTGTACTGCGATAAACAATTAAAAATTATCATGTCACCAAGCAGTGATTGTTGGTAGCTGGTGAAAAAAAAAATCATCCTTCCAAATTGCAGGAAAATGTGAGAAAATGCATGAATTTTCAGCTGCAGTCATCCAACTTTGAGTGTTAGTGACCAAGTGATCATGTTTTGAGCAGCCATTTTTTAATAGGCAGAAATATGCAGAGCTGTATTCTTGATCAAGTACATTATTTTGTTGCCCAATGCCCATCTACACCCACATCATACCTTTCTTTGCTCACTTTTTACCTATGTTGGTATCTGCCCCCACATTTATGATTTATTCTGATGGAATCCACTTTTAAATGAAGATAAGCCGATTTGAACCAGTTTTTCAATGATACTTACTACCAGCATGGATTCATTCAACCTTTATTTAAACAGATGTCACAATGAGCCTTGAAGACTCATTTACAAGTGAGACCTGTTTGGACAGACACTAAAAATGGTGAAAAATGACACAGGGTCCTAACACACTTTTAACCTCTTTTTGAAGGTCAACAGTGTGATAATGAAAAAAAAATCCCGTACACTGGCACATAATGACGTTGACATTACGCGCACGGGGGTGTGGGGTGGGGGGTGAGTAGCCAAAGACAACACACAGAGGCACTGCAGAGTTTAGATAAAATCACTCAGTTCAAATGGTTCCCTCTGGAGAGATCTGCACACACTCAGGGGGTGCCAAGGACGATCAGAGACGACTCCAGAGTCCTGAAATTGACAGAATGTTTATTCAACTGGGCTCCTCTGAAAAGTCCATGGAAATTCCTCAGTAGGAGGGGACGGAGGGGGTAGAGCATCAGGTTTACAAAACTTTCCAGGCAGGTTGAGATAAGATGGCCTGTCAAAGCCAGTCAGGGAGCCGAATTCAGATAAACATGATTGTTTTGGGGACAGGCAGATCTTTAATGACATCTACCTTGAGTCTGTGTCAGTCCACACACTTCCAAAATGTCCAAATTAAATGACCATACCAATGGAACATGCCTGAGAATAATCCCCAAGATCTGATCCATTCTGCCAAAAGTCTGGGTGCTCCAGGCACAAACCAAGCCATCATATAAGGCAGGCAGCCTGGCCAGGTCCAGGTTTGCTGCCGACGACTTCCTTGTTTGTTGATAGACCAGGAACCAGCCAAAACCCAAAAGCAGGAACCAGTTATCATAATTCCAATTATAAATGCGTCCTTAAAATATACAGATGACAGCAGAGATAGACACATCATCAAGTCTTCAAAGTCGACGAGATATCCAGCTGCATGCGTGCCAACAGGGCAAATCGGCTCACCTGAAGCCTTTCTTCTCTTGAAAGAAATATCAATTGTGTTGAGGGACCAACTGACCAAATCCAAGTCCATAGTTATGATTCGTACGATTTGTAGAAGAGAGGCTCTAAAGCAGTTTCACAGACAGGACAGAGCAAAACCAAAGCAGAGAGAGAGAGGAGGAGATGTCCGCCCTTGAGAAGAGCAAGTGTTGAATGATGCTTTCTATCAGAGGAGAGCTCCTGTGAAGAGGTCAATATACAACTCTAGCACCCTGGAGGCAGGTTAGAGACACCAATGACCACTCTGTGGCTAGTTCAAGAAAAGGCTGGTTGCACAGATTTCTTAAACAGTTTCAAAGTTTGAGCAACACGGCTGTGTGTTACTGTGACTCAGGAGAAATCTCTCAACCTGCTAAAGGTTCAGGTTCAGGTTTGGTTTATTTGTCATATGCAACATCAACACAAGGTCAACAATGCTATGAAATGTTTAGGACAAGAAGAACTGTCTCGACTTGCCAAAAAACAACAACAACAACAAGAAATACCAAAGCATGCAACAAAAGTACAAAAATCATACTAAAAATACTACTAAAATACTAAAAACATACTAAAAAAACACTACTAAAATACTAAAAAACAAAGTGCTAAAGATGAAAAAGAAATACACCTACAGTGTGATTCGGTTAGCAGTGAGGTTCTTTCAACATCATGGTTATGTTCTGTTAGCGGCGTGGTCTTGTTAGCAGCTTAGCAGGTCTTGTTAGCAGGTCCGGTCAGCAGCTTGATGTAATAAGGACCGCAGAAGCTGCCCTCACAGACTGCAGTCCAGAACCGGGTCCGGCAGACAGAGAACATCCCAGGTTTCCCCGTGGAACCGAACGGGTCTGAACTGCATGTGCAAGCAGATGGAGGATCTTGTTAGCAGCGTTAGCAGGTCTTGTCTAAAGTCACAAGACATTCTCAAAATATTCAGAAAACTCCCTCATGATTGCCATTGTCCAGTGAGATAACATGTTGAAGTGTACAATTTGTGTTGTAGCTCTTGCAGTTTTCTTGTTTCAGTAGTTTTAGCTTTTAAAATGTAATCTTGAATTTAACTGTATAAATATTGAAGATTATCTTAAGTGAATACATTTTCTTATTATTGACTATCAAAGTTCAATTGTTCAGAAATGGCTCTATTACCCTTCACAGTCTGATGAGCACCTGTTCCTCTATTAATTTTGATGTCTCGGCATCACGGTTACACAAACTGTGTCTGAAAACCCAACCTCTTAAAGACGGGCTCACACTTGCAATGATTAGTTATTAAAATGCATTTAATCAGTAGTGCTTAACTTCTATTTTCTATTATTCTAATGAAGCATTAAGTATGAACTACATTTTTCCCCACCCAATTTTTGCAGTAGTTATTAAAGTAGTTATTAAAGATATTTAAATTTTTGATTAGAGTTGGCATTCAGTACTTAAAAGCTTAGTTTTATCTTGGAAAACTCATAAATAAGAAGTAAAAAGAACCCAGGTGTTATACAATTTTGCTGTTGTTGTCTGTTGTTTTATCATTAAGGATCAAAATGAGGAAAATGCTATGATGTTTCACAGAGACTTGTTTTATGCATGCTTCCTTGTACTAGAATTGTTTTTTTGTTTTTTTTTAAAGGCCTGATTGTGAATAGGCACATGCACAAACTACAAATAGAGAAATGGCCTGCATACAGCATGCTACATCCCCAATACACATCATGATTGCCCTTTGCCAAGGAACGTTAATACTCTTAAATACACTCTAAAGCAAGCTTTTGCTAATGGACATATACATTTATACAATCCTTATTAGAATCCCAAATCTGTAGGCCATAAACCAGTTGTCATCTCTCTGCCTGGGATTGAACTGATAGGAGATTGGTGAAGGGATGGACTTAGAGTGGATTTTCTGTCTCTTCATCTTTGGACTCATAAACCTGGCTCAGGGCATAAATACCACCAAGTTCCCAAATCACACATAAGGAAATTAAATGTTCTTCCACTGTGCATGAAATTTCCAAGAATTAGAGGAAACAGATTTGAGCTTTTGTTTCGAAGAGTCATCCAGGTGGATGGTAACATCAGTGAACTTTTAACCTCTAAAGCCATTCACAGAGCAAGCCCCTGTTGTATTTAGAGTGGAATGCTGTTCACCACATTTTCTTTTGGCACAGATTTTCCATGCTACATTACATTTGTATTTATTTAATCAGCCACACGTTTATGAGAATTCACAGCCTCCTTGTATGAAAAGTTGTGTCTGTCATTATTGTAATAATTCACACTTTTTTCCCCTTTGTCTTGTTTCCATTGTGGTTGCCCAGCATCTGAAATTAGTTGCTCCTCTTGGGATTTTCATGTGGGTGTAGAAATGGTGGGCTGCTGAAAGGATCTGGCAAAGCTTACGATGGAATAATCTGCACCTGTTCCTATGGGCGAGAGCTAAAAAGGGTCACAGTTACACCCCAGTGCATGCATTTATGCAATCTTCCTGTCATACTGAGAAATAATAGTATAATAAATAAAATGCTAATGTATACAGTAATGACCCTTTTTTTGTGTATTCACGAGTTACATGATTAAATCAAGACTTTATTTGTGTTTTGCTCCGTATATGCATATTTATCATGTACTGCACTGAAACATATATTTTATATAACGTTGCTTAGTCCAGTGTTCTGGTTTTCAACTTTGTGTGTGTTGTCAATTAAAATGATGACCTTTTTAAAATTAAATATCAAGAGAAATGTGGTTTCAGCAACTCCACCCTTCACCCATTTCATTTATAAGAGCAATGTTTAAAATAATACAGAAAGTAATAACAAATCAACGACACTAAACGTTTAATTTTTACATAGTTAATGTGTTTGACCAAAGATAGTAATGAAAAGGATATGAAAATCTGCCAGCTGAGCTAACCCATGATCTGCATCTCAAGTCTTCAATTATGAGTCAGAAAATTTCAAAATAAAGCTGAAGCAAGAGAATGAAAAAAAAAAAAAAAAAAAATCTCCTCAGCATATTTATAAAACAGAGAATAGTTTCATTGTGTTAGAAAAACAATTGTTTGGATTTCAGTTACATAGAAATTGCTTTTTTAAATGAGTTTTTATATTCCAGCGCTTGTAGCTTTTTAATTTTGTTGCTGGTTTCATGTGATGTGTACTTTCAGGACATTCTTGCAAAATCATTTTTAAATGTCAAGAGTTATATTCTGTTAAGTGACACTATATAAAAAAAAATCCCTGTATTTGAATGTCAAGTCAATAAATGTCTCCACCTGACAATCAAACTATAATTTTTATGGTGAATTAATACTCTGTTCAAAGTCCACACTTGCAGTTCCGTTTGTGTTTGTGTGTGTTTTGTTTTACGTTGGTGAAGCTTTAAAATAAAATAAAAAATCCCTGAAATGCTTGCACACTCCCAAATAGTAGATAATATGCACAAAGGCAAAGCAGGACTCCTCCATGTCTTAACTTGGCTACTCTGCTCAATTTGCACAACTAAATTGATTTACTAAAATCCTTGTCTCTTTGTTACTTTATGTTAGTTTGTGTGTGTGTGTGTGTGTGTGTGTGTCTGTGTGTGTGTTTTCCTATGGGTTCAAGAAATAGTGCACTTGCACTAGATACAGTCAACGTGTTATAGGACGCTTCTGCTGTTAGAAGGCTCATAGAGTCTTATCTCAACATACATAAAGTGATTTTGCATCCGATTCCTGTTTTGTTTCTCTTTCAGCCGTGGGCATCCAGATGAAACTGGATTTTTTTCAGAGAAAGTTCTGGACGGCCAGCAGACAGGTATAGATTTGTCAACACCTAAGTTCAGCCCATATTTCAACAATCAACTACTGTAAATCCTCTCTGTCCTCCTGCTCTGTACACAAAAATAAGCGCCGCCCTCTGTTGGTTGTCTTGAATTTTGCTGTTCAGATCAGCCCTAGATTTGAATTCAGCAGCAGAACAGATAAAGAACCATAAAGTACTCTCTGCTTCTCAGCCTGTAAAAGTAAAATGACTAACTCAGACTTTAATAACTATAAAATCGCATAAAATCGTTCCACATATAAATCCCTTTTCAAAAAAGTAATTTTCGTCTCACCTTAACCGTTTAAATATGTGTTGTGATGGCTACTTCACATGCATGTTGTTTTGTTTCAGTGTACTGCATTGGATGGGAAATGCTCCATAAGCTGTGATGATGAGGTCAGTCGGATTTCCTTTCGCTCAGCCAGATTTTTGCAGTTTCGCTCATTCTATGTGCAGTAAAACCGTGTTCTGTTTGACAGAATATTAACTGCTACCTCATTGACAACAACGGCTTCATCCTTGTGGCAGAAGACTACACTTTGGTGAGACAGCCACACGTAAACAGATGCACACTTACAAATAAACATGTGTGGGAATGAAAAATTCCAATTATTCTTTCAAGTATTCATAGGAAACTAGAGCTGAATTTCATCTTAAAGCATACAAACTCAAAGCTTATTTTTTTCTACATATATCTTTCCATCTCATTTTAAACATTTAGAGCGTGTACTGCTCTCAGAAAGACAAAGGGTTGATTTAGTGCATAACAGTGGCCAGACATGCTGTCACTCCAACTTTAGTTCATCCAGAAGCCCGTCCGCTGGCTGTCGCTGCCCTTTCATTCCTCTGCTTGTTCTTTTCATGCAGCCTTTGCATGACTGCTGCACTTTGTTTTATCTTGGGAAGAAATGAAGCAATTAGAATGCACCGGTTGAAATTAATCTTCATCCTGTTTTTGTCATTGTAAACACTGGCATCCTTCAAAATCTAAATTGCATCACCTCCCAATTCAAATGTATGTATAGCTGTAGTTATTTTTTACAGGCAACTCAGTTCAAACTATTCTATCAGGTGTATGCTTATCAATAGTCCAGTTGTAGATTCATGCAGTGCAAATTTCTAAAGACAACATGTACTATTCTCTGAAATAATATGTATAAATTACATTGTATGTAAGCAAATCATCACAAAATAATGCATCAACACTTTATAAGGGTGGTTTAATGAGAGCTGATTTTCCTAAATATGCATGCATCAATCTCTTAATTCCCAAATGTTCTCTTTATTTGAAAAAAAAAAATCATAGAAATACATTTTACTGATAAAATTAATATGATTAATATGTACTTCATGTAGTAAAATGTCTGTCATTTAAACATTTTTCAGACAGGAAACTTCTTGGGTCAAGTCGAAGGAGCTGTGATGAACAAGCTTCTCCAGATGGGCTCCTTCAAAAGGTAAAGGGTTAAACTCTTGAGTGTGTACATAGAGGTGTAAGATCAATGGAAGTGTGTGCGAGCACAGAAACACGTGAAAATAAAAAGCAGGCAGGTTTCAAAATGAGAGCACGTCTCCCATCGTGATGACAGCTGTAAACTTGGTCCAGTCGTGTTGAGCCGTTCAGTGCTCAACTCTGACCTGTCACTCGGTGGAGTTCTCCATTATGGGATTACAGCTAATCTTTTCCTGAAACAAAAGAATTGAGAAAAACTTGACTTGTCACACACAGATAAAAGAACGCAGATGTGAATATCGTGCCAGTGTTTGCCTCCTGGAAAACACTGGGATCAGTGAGAAGCAGCACTTTGCAATTACATAATTTAGAGCTTCAGCGTCTGATAATACCTTTCCCCAGTGCAAAGCAGACAAACAGAAATTGTAGTTGTAATGTGGGATGATTCTGAGATGATGTGAAAGTTATTAAGTCTTAGCATAGTTTCAGAGCTGAGTGCAAACTTACATCACACACAAGCTTAAACTCACATCTCGAACACCACAGCAGGACCCTGCATTTGCTGCTGCCCACAGGACATGGGTGAGGGGATGTCAGCCATGCTGTCTGAGCAGATGAAAATCAGAGGTGACAAATCTTTGCACAAGCCAACTATGCCTGTGTTTTATGGGAAGGAACCTTGAAAGCTGACAGCAAAATAATTTACAGACCAATCCATAAAAACAAAGTGACTGACAAGAGATTTTCTTGATTTGTTAATGTTGGATGATGATTGTTTAAGATTGGGGTGGGGCATGCAATGAATGAACACTATGCCATGTGTTGGGGAAGTATTAGCACGATGAGTAACATACCCTTCAGATCCTAATGCACAGTGACATTTGTGGAGAATGTATGCGTTGGAGCACATTTTTTACCTTCATTAAAACATAGACATTTTAAAATGTGCCACTCATGCTGGACATAAACTGCCAACTTGTATTTACTGATCAATCAGTCAGAAGTTGGTTTGAGTTAGCTTCTTGTAACCCGTTAGCGTGAACTTGTTTCTTGTGCTGTGTTGGAGCTGTATGTCGTTGACACTGTAACGGAGGCTTGAGGCTGCTGAAACATTGTTGAATGAACATTAACATACAGGCATAGCAGGTCAACCAAACTATTTTAAAGGCTATTAGTAAAAGTGTCTGGTGCAAGTCCAGGCAGAGCTAAATTTCAATGCCTCGGGGTCCATTATTCCCTTAAATCCTTTTATATCCCTCTGACCTCATCGGTTTTCTACCAACATCCAGGACTGTCTAAAAATTGCTTTGTCAAACCACTGAGGAAGCTCTCAGATTTCACTTCCCTTCCTCTGTCCATTCTTTCCACATCAATCCAATCAATAATTTGTTGAAGAGGCAGTAATTGCAGAGGCAGAATCTTCTCTACCTGCTGTCACAAGGCCCCAGGCATGTTATTGCAGAGAATTTGTGAATTGAGATAAACAGGTCCTTTTTTGAGAAATGTCACGAGAATGCAACAGAACGATGTAAAGTCAGACCTATGTTGCTTTTTCAACTGTTCTCTACTTCATCTGCTCTATCTTTATATTCTCAGGGTCACTCTTTATGACTACCAGGCTCTGTGTCGGGTTTATTCAGAGAGCAGTGACAGTGGGCACACACTGCTGGATGTGAGCACTGCTCCCCCACACACACTCTTCAACCCACATGTTTCAGTCTATATAGTGCAAAGTTGCATCTATGTATGAATGTCTAATCAATATTTTTTCTCTGTTTTTATCTTTAGCCTTACTTTGCTTTCTTCGCAGCGGTAAAGTGGATCGTGGCTGAACTTGTCATGTAAGAGCTCTGTACATGTCGGCTGTCTGTTTATGAAGTGATGGTATGGACTCACTTTGTACGAGTTCTTACAGAACTTTTATCAACTGTGTGTTTGTTTACGAATGCCTCCACATGTACATTGATGTGAATAGAGCCAGTAATGGCTGCCTGATGTTCCCTGTAACACAGAGTATTCCACACTGTGGTTGTGGTTTAGTCCCTCTGGGTGGTCGGTCACTGCCACCACCTTGCATCATGGGTGTTGTCAGTACACATTTTATAACAAGTATTATGTAATATTTCAATATTGCATAATAAAAACACAAAAATATGATATGATTATTTAGTAAAACTGGTAACTAGACACAAACAATAATTTTGCAGTCATGATGAAATTGTGTGTTCTTGTTTTGGGTTATCTTTAATTGTTAATTATTTTTATTTATTTATTTATTTGTATGTTTATTTGTGTATTTATTTATGTGTTTATTGCAACTCTTATCAAGTTGATTGACAATCCTTTCAACTAATCTGAAATTAAACTTGAGTAAATTATTTGACAATCAGGTATGCATTTAATTTCTATGATTTGTTTATTTATTTATTCATATATTTATGTCATATCTGTTCTATGCACACATACACACACACACGCACACACACACACACACACACACACATATATATATACATATATGAAAGGAAGTTTGTCAATATGAATGCCTTTAATCTAATTGTCTGA